ATATCATGTACCAGCTTTGCATATTTTTAATATCTTTTTTTTAACTTTCTACAGTGAAATTTAGGGATTTAGGTAACTTTATTTATTATTGGAGCCCAGCTTTGAATTTAACAATAATCTTACACACAGAATCAACACTGTCAAAATGATGAATTACAAATTATGTTGACATCAGGTGTACTGTTCTAATGACGGAAGATATGCAAGCAAAGAGACATACATAAGCACACACAGAAAGAGATGATTTGTGCCTATGCATGTGAGAGAGGGATATGGAGGAGAAACGGACCGTTATCCTAAGTTACTGATGCTATCTGCTCACACTGACAAGAACAAGTAAAGGAAGGAACTATTCTGATTTGTATTAACCTGCCTGCGTCATTATCTTCTTTTTAACTGTGCACTGCTGTTCTTTAGAACCGTAGTCCTCAGTATGTGGTCTAAAGATGCCCCAAATTAAGCAAAACTCAAAAACAACAAACCAACAGTATAACCATGCATAATGTGGTACATCACCACTTTATCTGAAAATAAAACTGAAAGTGAATGCACCCAAAATATTCATAATAATCCCTCATCGCAGGAAGAACAGGTGTGAACAATTATGGCAAGTAGAGTAGGTCAGAGTTGAATCAGGTCACTAGTCAGTAAACCCTGACAGTTTGGGTCATAATTTTACAGTTCGCCCTTGTTTTGTCTTCCAAATACATTTGGCTTACCTGGGGCTTTGTTTATAACCTGCATCTTCCCCGCTTGTGTTTCTTGTCCCATTCAACTATTTTCCACTGTTGCTGTGCTCTTAGATCTCAGCAATCTTTTTAGAGAGTATATTGTCACAACAGATAGAACCAATTGCAAATTGTGATAGTGATAGTGAAATTACCCTTTAAGAAGAGAGAACATATTATTGTATGGACTTTGTATTTCTTTTGATGTCTCCACAGTAGTTACTGTTACATGTAAGATTTGTACCTATTACTACCATAACCTAATCTGTGACATAAACATGCCTTTTGCTCCTTCCTTTTATAACAGAATGACGTAGTTTAAAGCATTAGGAATCCAACCCAAATTCAGTCTGTGAAAGCACTGATGTTTGTTAAACAAGTTCCAGGAAAAATCCACATATTCACAGGAAGTAATGTGTTTTATGCTCCCATCAACAACAGCACTTTGTTTACAATAAACTGAAGATCTCAATAGATAGCATGGAGAGGAGAAAATAGAAAAAACACTGCCATAAAACCATAAAATCATAAAAAGGAATGGTGTCTCTGAATGTGGAATGTGGAAGAGACCCCCCACCCCCATCCAGTTCTCTTATATTTTGTTCAAATGATCATACCTGCAAATAGTTCCCATGAAATGACGATTAACAGAGTAAAAATTTTAATGTTGAGAGATTAAAATTCAGTTTTTCAAATTCACTTTATCCAAACATGATCACTTTGTCATTGCTATGGGATTGTGCAACATATGGGAGAGAGGCAGGAGCATGTCAGAACATGTCTATGTAGGGTGGCTCTGTCTCTCTCACATGCATTAGTTATTAAATGCTAGATTAAAGCTTGTCATGGACCCCTTTCAACACTTGGCGAGTGTGTGAGAGAAGTTTTCACGCAGTAGTCTCACATCAACCTCCTACTTAAGGTGTTATGTTAACTGGAAGACACAATTGTCACACTAAGATTTACAGTAGAAAATTATATCTTTTTTTTCATGGTGAGATCACCCACCCACTCCTAAATCTGAAATCATTTCCTGTGGAAAGACTAGACCTGTGACGTCTAGGCCAGAAGTGTTATATAAAAAAAAAAAAACCAATGCTAGTCTAAATCAAAATCAATCAAGTATATTTAAGTATGGGATTCATTTAGTCTGTTTTGTTATGTTTAATTTACATAATTGCCTTAATAGTAACTTTAAAAGCCATGATTGGCTGACAGTACTGATAAGACTAAGACTACTAAGTGTTTTGACTGGTGGCTCTTTATGGCTGACAACAGCAGCAGCTATAAAGATGTGAGCCTGTGTTTGGACCTGCTGCCACTTCATATTTTACTCTAACACTCGTTGTGAACTGTTCCACTGTAAGCATTCAAGCTGTGTTTAGTCATCCAGTAAACAGGGTTAGGTGTCAGTGAATCCAGGTAATATGAAGGCCATTCCTATTTGATACAAACTTATTAAAAACATTTTCCGACCCTTGTTCTCTTCTTGTTGTACTCATACCTCTTACTATAAAAACATTCACTAGAAAGCCCGACTGTTTCTTCCAGTCTATTGTGTGTGTTGGATTTTGTCAGGCTTCTTTAAAAAGGAGTGCCACAAACTAAATGACTAAATACGTTTTGTGAACTAGCGGTTGAGTTTGTATGTCTTCTATGTGTGTGTTGCTCACATTTCTACGTTGTTCGTCTTAGTATACAAAGTTACAAAGAGCAGCTGTGAAGGGAAATGTTGAAGTGATTATGTTCCTGAGATTGCTCACTTTGCGGCATTGTTTGGGCCATTTTTCTTCATACTTACGGAAAAAAGAAATCACTCATTACTGCTGTGATCTATAAAATCTTTGAAGAAGGGAATGTGAGGCGAGCCCAAGTGGGTGGCCATGGAAAAAAAAATCTCAAAGGAGGGGACATCCTTCCCTTTCTCTTCTGCTGTTTGACAGACCCTTGGCCACATCTTTTTTTGGCTGTGCGTGTGTTTGTGTTGGCGGCGGCTTATCCTTCATGCGGGATCCTGCTGCTGATGTCACATTCCTGCCTGTTAAGGCTACACTGAGACCATCACACACACTTATG